TATGCCATATCTTTCTATTAAAAAGAGATTAGAGATTCAATATAATAATAAAATAAGAGCTGAAGAATTACTTTATCAATATCAACATATTAATAATAAAAATATTGAGTCTGAAGATTTAGAAGATATTTTTGATGGAAAAATATATGAAAATCTACGTGAAATTAATTTATTTAATAATAAAAGGGATATCGCATTTACTGTTTCTTGTGACAGATATCAGATATTTAAACAAAAAACAGATGATTATTAGGTATTTCTTTTAATAAATAATAATCTTAATCTATCAATTAGAGTTAAAAAAGAAAATTTAATAATTCCTTTTTTAATTCCTGGACCTAATCAACCAAAAAATTTTAATACATTTTTACGACCTTTTGTAAATGAAATGAAAGAATTAGAAAGTTGGTTAATTTATGATATATATTATGATAAATATTTAATTATTTTTTATGATTTTATTAAATTATATAATTATATTTTATTTTTAGATGGTATAACATGTTATGATGCATATACCGAAAGTGAATTTACATTACATGCATATATTCTTGCATGGACTGGTGATATTCCTGCTATTACAAAAGTTATGAATATCACTGGTCATAATTCATTTCTGGTTGTAGATTTTGTGAGATTCAAGGAGTTTATTCACAAAAGCATAGACATGTTTATTTTCCTTATAATTCTAAAACAACATATGATAAAAAAAATCATTCTGATTGGTTATCACATATTAATGAAATAGAAGTTGCATCAACTTCTAAAGATAAACAAATGTTAGTAAAAAAATATGGTAAATATAAATTATTATTACAAATTCTTTTATATTTAATTTATAATAAAAATTATTTAATTTTTTATAGGAATAAAAGGAAATAGTATTCTTTTTGAATTACTTTCCATTAATTTTCCAAGATCATTTCCAATTGATATAATGCATTTATTTTTTGAAAATGTTGTGCTACATACAGTATGTTTAAATTGTGGACTGGTAGATTTTTTAAAGATGATAATTTAAATAATTCAATTCCTTATGTTTTATCTAAATCATCTTGGGAAGAAATTGGTATACAAATGCAAAATAATAAAAAAAGTATGCCATTAGATTTTGGAAGACCACCGCGTAATATATTTAAATATAATGCAGGATATAAAGCAGAAGAATGGGCTAACTGGATAACTTTATATTCAGTACCTTTACTTAAATCAAAATTACCTGATAGGTATGAAATTATATTAAAATAAAATTTATTAAATATTTTAATTTAATTTTTAAAATATTATTAAATTTATAGGTATATTAAAGGTTGGAATGAA